CTCTGACGAGCTCTAAGCAGTTGGGTAGACTTACATTTGCCTCAGATTATAATGTGCAATGGCATCTGGCAACCTCCTGAAAGCATTAATGGTGCTTGAAAGCATCTGCCAGCTGCCAGGCCACTAGGTCATTTCTGTCCCTTACTGCTTCAGGAGGAGATCTTTACTCCTTCACAGGAGACTGTGGGTATAACGAAATGTTTAAGACTCCAAGACAACCATGGAAAAAGGAGACCTAGCATAGTAGCTACAGCAAGTTATTTTCAACTTCTACCCCCAAGAGCTATCAAGAGACAGGCAAACATTCCTCTCTGGCTCTAACAAGCAAAGAACATTAACAGACCTAAACCTCCCGACTACAGGAATGTGATTCCCAGATATTGCGGTATTTAGCAATGAGATGTGGGACAGAATAATAGAAGACTATATGAGATACCATACTGATGCTAAAACCAAACAGTTATTACTCATGTCTCAAAACAAGACTGCATGAGGCCAGGTTGGCTAACTAATGGGAGATAAAGAACAAAGCAAAAATATTTATGCAAGAGAACATAGGTGTGGTGGCATCGTTAGTGCTGCGACCATCAACGGCCCAAACTGGCTGCGGGGCTAATGGTGATAAGTACAGTCTGACCGATCAAAGACACACTGCAACCAGCTTGCTTGTAGAGAAACAGTCCTGAAAAGGACATTTTAGGAACAGAGAAGCAATTAGAAAAACAGCTTAGCCAGGCTGGTTCTAGCAGCCATTATAATTGCCTTCAAAAATGATTGTGGTAGGTATTATCAAATCTACTGACTGCAGCTTGCCGATGGAATTTTTCCAGCTGTCTCTTACACTTAGATGATTCATAGCATTTTAAAACTGATATAGCCCTGTTCATTATGGTGGCTACCTATACATTTTGGTATTGAGACTGAGGACAAAAATTAGGAGATAAAAGAAATGAGCTCCTGGATTTGAATCAGTTCAGCAAAAGTATGATTTTTGCCTCCCTGCTGTACAGTCACTCTAGCCTCATTTGTTCAAGCCCCCTGCTTCTGTCTACATGACATCCAAGTGAATGTTTTGGATGAGTGAGTTCTACATCCTAAAACCCTGCCTTACCCTAAGAGTACTTTGGATTCAGATTTGTGCAATAGATTAGATGGAAATACTGACCAGCAGAGCCAAAGGGAGACATTTGCTGGAACTAGATGTTATCTGGATGTTTTTGGTCTTCTGAGACACCCCAACCTCTCCCTGCAGTATTGTAGCCATAGAAAAAGAAAAAACAAAGTTCTGGACCACAAAAGTACTTAAGTGGAAAGCCCTCTTTCTGACTCGAGGCGTGATACACTAATCTCAAGGTAGGTTGTTTGCAGTGCTTGCCCAATCCCTGGAACAGTGGTCAAGGAGGGGTTATTGTCTGGTTCACTGTTACAGAGGTCCCTGTAATGACAGAAATCTTTCATAGCCCGTCTCTCGCTTTCCAGTTTGTGGAAGCACCCAACACTGACAGCTAGCTATGATAAATTAACACAATGCCATGCCCTTCTAGTGCTTTGTTTTTCAGGTCTAGCAGGTTAGGGGAGGGGATAAAAAAAAAAAAAGTATGCTTTAGAGTATGTCCCAAAGACTAACCATTTAGGATTATTTCAGACCAAAGTGGGAAATTCTGAAGTTCCCTATGGGACATGGCCTGACAAATTCCCATCTGTTCTAGACCATTGGCATAATTAGTGCATAAATTCTGCAAATACTCTGCTAATGTTAGCCACTGAATTATATTACTTAGCAGATACAATTGAGAGGTTTGTAAACTGAGATAGGTTGGAAACCACGGCATTAGGCCATTCATACTAACACACCTCTACTCCCGCAGATATATCCAGCATAGTTCCGTACTACCTCCATCACCAGCCACAGTTAGAAAAAAGAAAAAAAAAAACCCCAACCAGTGACCAGAATGGTACATCTTTTCCTCCACAAGAGCTAAAGCTACACTTTAACTACCAAATCTATTACATAGCAAATAACGAAAATAGTTTTCAGGGAAACCTTGCAAGGGTAAACTGTGCTCTACTCAATTCTTGCAGTTCCTTTATCCCCATCTGTGGGTCAGATAAATTACTACTCCTTTCCCGAATCCCTTCTGGAAAAGCATGAGCATACCCCAGAGTTCAGAACTGACACACACGAATTGTGCTGCCATATAGCAGAATGGTTACAGGATAATAGACATAACGTGACAATGAAGAAGTGCTCCAAGATCTCCCTCTTTCCTCAGTACACAGATGTTCTTCTTTTGTTACAACTTTGAATCCTGAGATAAGCAGATGTTGGAACATTTCAAAATGTTCATCTTCTGAAAAAAAGTTAGCACACAGCTACATGCCCACTGTTAAGCCTCAAACTTTGAAGACCTAAAATCAATGAGCATTATGTGCCAAATTCCCTTTAGAAATAGCTTGTTATTTACTCTTCCTACAGCAAAAATATTTCTCGCCAGATTAGTTACATTAGACACAAATATTGTGCCTGCACAGATACCCCTGTGGTAGCAGAAGGGGCAGATCTCTTGCCTCCTGCATTCATCTGTCCAAAACAGTCTCAACCTTCACTGCACAGGAACAGCTGTAACAGCCAGATCAAAGGTCTGTCTGCCTGGTACATCCTCTGTATACCTGTGACCATGAGGCACCAGTACGCACTGATTTAATGCACAGTGGATCAAGCGACCCTTCCCCATTATATCCTCCCAGATCCAGCAAAATAGAAAGGGAAAAGACAAAGACACCTCTTTATCACATAGTGGATAACTTTTAGTTTTCTTTCTCTGTCTGAGAAAAGGTAGAGAGTTACGAAAAGCCAAAATTGTTCATGCTGAAGAGGCAGTACTGAGTTACTGATTTTTAACACAGATTTGTTTCTACAAAAATTAACCTCAACTGATGGTGAGCAAAATAAGTCATCAGCTCTCAGGCTACCTGTGCAATCAAGGCCTGCAGCTGCAGAGGATGAAATACAAACACTGGGCTGTTTTCTGTTGACTGGTCCAGCATCTGTAAAAAATCTTATTAATATTTAGAACGATTCACTCTAATGGATTTGCCAAGTGACAGCCCTTATCTGAAAATAGCACACTGCATGAAATCAAAGTGGACAAAGTATGTCACTGCTAATCAGATACACAGCAGGACCTGAACTCCCTTCAAAGCAACTGATTTCTTACCGCATCTGCCGGACAGGTGACCTACCTTTGTGATGATTTAGAGCTGTGACACACCAGTTACAAAGCCTTTGGTGAAATAAAAGGAAGGAACCTTCCTTGATATTAAAGGATTGCTGCTTTTTTGTTGTTTGCATTTAAATGGACACGATTTAAGAGCCTGTCTCCACAGGCAAGTATTTTCATTCTAACAAGCTCTACACAATGTGAATGAATGTTCTATTCGATAAAGAAGCATAAGAACAGCAGTAAATGCTGCTTTCTGGAGATGCCATCTTCTCAATTCTTTCCTTCTATCAAGCCCTATTGTGTTAGTTATTTAGGCATAATGCAAAGTACTGTATATAACAGGATTCAGGACTACAAGCCAACTCAAATGGCCCAGCTCGGGCATACTTATTTGCTTGCAAGTTATTTTAAAATATTCCAAAAATGCAGATATGCAGATTTACACACCTCTAGGACCCTCCTCTTCTTGTTGTTCACCTAATATTCAACAAGAAAGAGAATAGAAACAATTGCTGGCTTGATTCTGTCTAGCCATTCTGGGTTGCCCTTCATGCTCTGAAGGAGTGCATTTTGTGGAAGGGATGGGAGGGGCTGCGGTCCCCAGTGCATGGGCTCCTCATCACGCAGTGCAGTCATGGAGGAGAGCACAGACCCGTACCCCTCCCTCTCACGTGTGACTGCATCTGCTCCCATTGGCAGGGGCTTTACACTGAAAAGCCAGAACAGAAAAGATGTGATTTTCAAACAGCGAAATCAATGTGATGCCAAAGAGATGAATTAGACCTATTGCATTTATTGAAAATTATGTTTGAAAAAAAAAAATCTGGATTTGAATTGCTAAAGTCCTCAAGAATACAGTTCGAGCAGACAACACAAAGAAGGAAACCAATTATTAGGTGCCAATACTCCAGCTGCTGAGTGATTGCATATGTGTTTGCATAGCATTATGCCTCAATCCTTGCTAAGCCAACACTGTCAGACATTTCATGACAGTTTCAGTTGCTGGAGTAATTGAGAGGTTGCTGTTTATTTAGGATTCTGACAGCTGGAACAAGCTGTGCCTCCTATCAGACACCAATAAACAACGGTCACTTTGGTAAGCTCAGAAGGTTTTAAGAGGTTCCTGTCCCTTAGGACTCTCTTCTGTACAAGAAGAGGGTATTAACAGGGCTCCTGCTTTAGCCTACAGGAAAGCAG